ATAGAAGAAGAAAATCAAAATTCTAGAGTCCTAACTTTGTAAACCTAAAAATTATCGATTTGTAGGTGCATTAAAATCTTCATATTGTAAAAAACCCACTGAGGTGAATAGATTTCAAAATCGCCATTTGAATACATGGAAGAAGGGAAAGTTGAGACACAGCAATTCAAACTCAAACCCCGCATACAAGTGCACGTTAACCCATTCCTCCCCTCAAATCGATCGCGTGCTTTTTACACGGCCCCAAAAGTAATTTTGTGCTGAAATGTCACGAGTCGATTACATATTTAATCGAAGTGCAGACACTCAATAACGTAGCTGAGGAGGAAGCCTTCACTCCTTGCCACTCTCATACATATTTTGAAGGATATTTGTTCGATTAGTGGACAATCAATTTTGAATTGCCACTTCCACTCAAAGATGTAAAACCACGAAAATTAGTGTCTTCAGCGCCCTTGAAGAGCGTCTACATCTTACGGCATCAAATAATTGGGTACAAAGCTTAAAATGTGGACGATCCCATATCAAGAATATCCATTTTTGTTCTGAGTTGGAAATTTTCGAGCAATATCAAATTCAAGAATTTTCACAAATTTTCTTATGCTCTTGAAGTTTTTCTGATGTATTTCTGATGTATACATAGATATCTTTGCCTTAGAAGAAACCCTAATTTCGAAATAGTTTAAGTATAAGTATGTCAAATCGTACATATAATCGGGTGAATAATGCTGCAATAATTTTCAAAATTCGAGTAAAATTCGAAGACCGATGAGGATTCGAAAGAAGTAAAAAACTAGAATACTCAATCAAGAACTAAAAGTGAGCCCGTATCCTTTCACTTTCCCTATTTTATCCTCCCTGCACAATTCAAATATTAGCGCTCTTGGTCTGCCGAGCGGGTGTGGCGTGGGCATCGAGTCAATCTTGTTGTGGGTTGTTGTTAAATCATGGGATGTTATGATTTTCGAATGGCATCGAAATCTGAGCGTGACAAGTCGTGACGCTTCCCTTCCCAGCTACGTGCAACAAGACTGTGATTGAGTGTCTGGACTTTGATTGTGCAATTATTGATTAGTGAATGGCACCAGTCACAAGCTTTTTCGCTTGCCATTGTCATAAAATAATCTGCATACGTAAGTGGGTCTGAAGAGGCGAGTGGCATGCTATAAAAACGGCACTGATATCGAGCCAATTGAGACAAATCAATATTAAACATTGTCCAGGTCAGGGTAATTTTATTAATCGGTTGGATTTTTTAAAAATGAAGTCGATTTCTTTGGTTGCAATATTTCTTGGAATTTTGACAACCTGGTCCAATTGCGAAATTATCGGTCTCGAGTGTTCTGTTGTTCCTGGCGAAGATATTGTGAGTACTTAGAAAATGGGTGGGGTTATTGTTGCCTTTTTGGTTCCTACTTTTCTACCATTGGTGTACTTTTTGAGATATTTTTATTCAATTTTTTTTTGTAATAAATAATTATTTCCAAAATATGTATGTCAAACTTGAACTTAAACTTCATATGTACATATATATGTATATGTATGTATGAATAATGTGATGTAATAATTAAGTAGATTCAGTCGCTTACTTTATGAGACGACTGTCTGTCTGTCGGTTAATTGTTAGGGTAAAATGAGAGTTGTGTAGAAATTGCTTATTTATAGGCAAGAAGAGTTAACTCATGAATTCCATACAGATTATTAGTCACTGAAACTACTTATGTGCATACGTATGTGCGTTTCTTGCAGTTTTTATTAAATATTATTAACATGGTACTACAAAACTGGTTGGAGCTACAAAAATTGTGTAAATTTTGATAATGCTGAGTAAACAGTTGAATACGAACATATGCATGCAGCTGGTTGACTGTCCCACGTGGGAGGAGGGTATGCCGACCTATTTTCCATACCCGCACGATTGTCGGAAATTCATCGTGTGCACGAATGGCCACCCGATCCTGCAATGTTGCGCGCCTGGAACGGTCTGGGATAATGACGCTTCGATCTGCAACCACGAAAGTGTGACCCCTTGCGTCACCGTCACCACGCCAGGACCGACCACACCCACCACCAAAGTGCCACCCACTACCACAGAAAATCTTCCCCTTGAGCCTGGGCAGATTTATAGAATCGTAAATTATTTCCACCAAGGGATAAGTCTTTCTTTGGTCTAGGTCAGGGTACGGAAAACCCCGGGGTTTTTGTTAGGTTAGGTTAGTAGTCCATAGTAGTAGTCATAGTAGTAGTCATAGTAGTCATAGTAGTCATAGTAGTCCTGGAATTGGCAACCCATCCCCATGGGTTTTAGGGGTAGTCAGGGTTTTAGGAGTAAACTGAGGCAGCGTCTCATTCCCTCAGCTTTGAAAACAATCTACTTTTTCCATAATTTCGCAACAAAGCTGCTTATTAATTCAGTTTTAAAAACCAATTAATCTATAGAATTGTTATCAACGTCCTGCTAGTAAGGGTCATTAAATTTGAAAATCCCAACTACCCGTGGGTATTTCTGATTTTTGCTACCAAAAAACGCACCAATACCCACAAAACCCTTAGAACCCTGGGTACCATGCCCTGGTCTAGGTACATGTATTTACATAGATGAAGGAGAAGCGTAATACATAAACAAAGGGCGGATATGTACACGCTTACAAACAGTCGGATTTTAAAAAAAAATGTGTATATTCGCCCTCTGATAATAAATATTTGCACCCTACATATGTTTTTTGCCTTGTTAGGAATCTGTATAACCTTGTTTTTAAGATAAATTGGTACGGCCTGTATTTATTTTATAGGCGCTGGAAATATACAACTCCAACTTGACCAATCTAAACAGAATCCACGCTACTTCTGATGTGGGGTGCTCAAATTTAGGACAGGTGTGGAAGTTGGAAATGACCGGTAGTAAAAAGACACTGATTCTTCTGTTTCGGAAAGTTGATATTTAATCGTGGAAAATGGTCGTGTGCCAGATTCGAGTTATCATTTTAGATCAGTTTTGAGTGGCAGGCACGCAATGTACGCATGTCACATTGGAGGTTCCACCCATCCCTGCATTTTTGTAAGGATACATTTGGATACATTTGCTTAAATATATTTGCATTACATTTGCAACATAAATAAAATAGTCTCCCGATGCAACCTTTGCGTGGGAGTGGAGTTTGACCTCTTTAAGCGGATCAAAATACTGGATAATTAGGAAGTTTGTTACAATTGAAAATGATACCCTTACGTACACCAGGTGAGATTTAGGATTTTGTTTTATTTAAAATGTTTTTAACCCAATTTATGTAAATACGCTTCAAATATTTGCAAGTATTGACAATGGATCCGGAATTAATGTGGAACTGTGCCCTCTGAACCCGGCGGACGATCCGGCACAATGGTGGGAATTCAGACGATGTTAACTCACACAAATTCACATATAAACACAAAAACAATTAAACAAAATTTAAGCAATAATTTGTCTCGAGTAGTATTTACATTACTCTGTAGAAATTTGCGAATTTATGTAAGTATGCCGAAACTGTCTATAAACGATTTATCAAAATAATATCATGAGCATGAACAAATATTTATTTTAAAAAATTATTTTAAACCAAGTACTTATGAATTTTAAGTTTCCCAATTTATTGGCAATTCATTCACTGATATTCTTTAATTTAAACATTATATCATAATTGTTTGACACTAGATGTTGGGGAAAATAGGCTTAATAAACCATAGTAACGTTAGCAGTAGCTCGGCCAGTAATACAGAAGTGAGAGAAGTGGATGGAATTGGTAGAAAATTTTGACATAATCTTCACTCTCACGATATAAAATATATGCATGCATGCTACTTGTACATATATACATATATCGAATGTGATTATGCTGTACATAACATCTACCTAATTAATTATTATTCTCAAACAAGATTAGAAAACCAGACAAATCCTTTTGTTTATATTCGGAGAGAAAGCCATACTCTTATTTATATCCCACTGTGGGATAAAAATTATTACCCGAGCGGTAGAGTTTCATAGTACCTCTGCCGTTGACAATCTTGTTCAAAAATTATTGAGAGTGTAGCCATGTCTGGCTCCATATTTCCTCACGGTATAATAATTCACGACGAATTTGCCTTTTTTAGTGTGGATGAAGACATAACGAATACTAAATATGTTTGTTGATGAGACTGAGTTTATTGCTAGATAAGTAAATTAATATGCAATTTTTAGGTTTTGGGTACATAAACTTTAAGATAAAGATTTAAGTATATCAGTTAGGATAATATTCCTTTATTGTACAAATACTGGACCAGTCGGGCGTAGTCTACAATACGATCTACTTTGGGACCCTTGACCATGATAGTACAGTCAGTTACTTGGTTTCAGAACAAGACGGGAAAAGGATAATTATTATTTCAGTCTTGAAAAATTTACTAGCCGCAGAAATGGTAAAGTTTGAAAAGATAAGATTTATTGGTTCGATAAATTTATAATTTGACACTTTCCCATCACTTGCATACTAAGGTGTTGTTAATTTAATTGAAAGTAGGATTATTGTCGAAAATTTAACATAATTTGTACGCCTTATTCACAGAGTGAGATTAAATGAGTGCTAAAAAACAATAAATTTGTAACATTTTTACAAAAGATTTGAAAAATAATTGAGCAGCTTTGTCATTAAATATTTTTTTGTTCCGGTTACATGAAAATATACGAATTCTGCATATGAATGCCAACCTAGCGTAACAAAGGATGAAATTTGGTGCCCATCAATACTTTACATGCCCATGCAATAACACATATTCAGGTTTATATATATAAAATATATGAGCCGGGAAGGTTTTTCTCCCCAAGCGAAATAATTCATATAAATATATATAAGTAGTTTCCCACGAGGCCACCCCTGACACTTATTTCTTACAATGGTATATAGGAGACCCCTTAAGGATCAGACTTTCATAAAATGTATCCGCAAACAGAAAAATGTCCACAGTATTTATATCTCCTGCCATACCGTGCAACAAATCTGTCCGTCTTCATCGTCCACCATTTAAAGGGAAAGGAAAAATCAGTTCAACATTTTCAGATTTTGTGTAAGCAAGCTTTTTTGTAGAACTAATTTAATTTTAATCACATCCAAATATGCACACAAAGGAATACATACTTAATACGTGTAATCGTTAATGAATTTAAACGACATGCGTTTGTTATCGGAAATGTAATTTATATTTAGTTACAAATATTTAAATTCATGTGTTTTTAAAGGAATGTTTCAAAATTTATATTTGTGCATAAATCGATACTCAATATTAAAAAATCATGTATCCACCTATATATTCATCACAAATTCAGCAGTTTGCATTAAAAACAATTTAGCAATCAAAAAAATTTGCAAACTTAATCCGAACGGGCAAGGCTGACAGAAATTTTTAAACCCAAACTTCCTATTTTTTGTTAATCATTTACCCCATTATTTTATTACGTTGCCAACTAAGCAAACTCGTAATTTATAATACATACCGTCCTCATTCTAAAAAAACCTAAGTGCTGTTGAGGTTTAATTTTAAAAAGACCTATGTATGTATAAAAGGGGGTGGAACGGGTGCAGGTATTCGAGCACGTGGGCGATTATGCAGGTAAGAAAAAATATTTTTGATTAATTTTTTTATTAATTAGCTTAATTTTCATACGGTCACTCACTTATCTATAATAAGATGAGATGATAAAACTGTTCAGATTAAAATACAGCGATTTATATAGATTGATTGTACGGCCTTGACACTGGCTTTACTGTAGACATTTATAATTTTGGTAAAAATGCATGTACCTGATGAGGGTTGTGGTAATGTATAGAAGGTTTTTGAGAAAAGCTGTCCTTGAACCGTCGGAAAATGGAGGACTATGAAAAAACCAAAACATGTGTCCGCTTAGTAAGGGTGAAAGCCCTTTATAAGATCGTTATGTCCGTCTGTCTGTCTGTCCGTCTGTCCGTAGCTCCGATAACTTTTGAACGGAAAGACATCGAGACTTGAAATTTTGAACGTAAACTCCTAACGTCAAGGGACAGGACGAGTTCGAAGATGGACACTGTGACATCGTCATCTGTGACGATGACGTCGTCACAGTGACGAAAAGTGGCGAAAAAGTGTCACGTGTCAATTTTGACATCTGACACATCGTTTTTAACTATTTATCAACGAGGAATTCGAAAATTCCTGTCATTTTGCACTTGGACGTCACCTGTGACGATGACGTCGTCACAGTGACGAAAAGTGACGAAAAAGTGTCTATGTCAATTTTGACATGTGACACATCATTTTTAGCTATTTTTCAATGTCGAATTAAATGGTGACCTCCATTTTGACCTCAGAGGTCATCTAAAGGTCATAGGGCATATATATGTCAATTTGACAGGAGATTTAACCCCGAATTCAATGGTGACCTCCATTTCTTTCACCCCTTGGATACATGCGTTGTAACGGTTTATTTTTAATAAATTGAGTAGATGCTCTTTAAAGTGAATAAATTAAAATTCCTCGCATTAAAACCGCTGCTTTACATGTGGAAGATATATATTGTTGGCGGAAACCGTTTTCGTATTTAACTAGACATTAATTTGAACCAGGTTTTTTTTTAGATTTTAAACTTTTCTGAATTTACAGGTGAAAATGTCATTACTTGGCAGCTTAATTGTTGTCATTCTTCTGGGCCATTGCATGACAGCCCAATCATCAGACACTTGTAGGCTTGGGTTAGTGGAGCGCAGTGTGCGTGAAAGACCTCCCTTTGACCGTGATTGCCTGTATCGTGACGGATGGATATGTTGGAACAGTGGTATGATAGAAATCTGTTATGATATTTTTTAATCAACACAGTTTTTAAACTCTTTCGTTTAATAATACTTGCATAATTGTAAGAGGTGGGAGGATAACTAATTTGGATAACTAGTCCAAGACAAGGCTTATCAAGTCATTAAATTTGTGCGTCTGAAATTCCCTTACCGTTTTATTCTTCTTGTTGTCCGGGGGGAGTCAAGATCTGCTAACCCTGTTTTTCGGCGTGTTATAATCATATCTTTGACATACATGACAAATGTTTTGTTGAAATATGTAAGTTTTTTTAGTCTAACTTCAACGCCGGGAAGCTTTTTATTAAATATAATATATACACACTAGTGTATAAGCCCGTCTTAAAGACGAGCGGAATTCTAGATTCATTTATTTAATATAAATGTATTAGAAATCCAAAAACACCGTCCAGCAGCTCCCATGCTATATGTAAATTTCCGTAACATTTATGAACTCTGCTTGGTTGAGAGATTAGAACCACTCCCTCTAAGTTATGTCACAGTACAAAACCTAAAGTAACAGTGCCACTTTTTTGGGGTGGAGCCAATATATGTATTCTCAGTAATGTTTTTGTTGTCTGGTATTTGCCTCACTAAGAAAAATAGCCTGGCACATTTGTAATGAATTACAAAAACTATTTTAATATGCAGTTAAACTGTTATATCGTATATATTATATATCATATTATATCATATATATTATATATGTTACGGCCTGTAAATACTACAGGAATCCCTAATATTAACTAATATTTTGGTAAGATTACTGCCGTAAAATAAACTTGTTTTCTTCTTATCATTGCGATGTCTAACCGACTGTTTTTTGTTAACGTATTTATTCATGCTTTGTATTTTCCTTACTAAGAAAAAGTAGAAGCTAAATTCTGTTAAACGAGACTGCTATGGATTATAATTCCGTAAATATACAAAATTGCAGATTTTTTATGCATCAAATCCGAAAATCGCTGTGATGGTTGGCCTCACTGCCCGCATGGGGAAGACGAACGGTCGTGCGATGACAAAGAGTATTTACCATGTCCCGCGGGCAGCACTAAGTGCGGAAACACAGATATCTGTGTACAAAATACTAAACACTGCGATCATCAGGATGACTGCCCTGGCGGGGAGGATGAAACTAATTGTCCCTGGAGCACCCCAATATCACCTCTGCACTGCCCTATTGGGAGATTTGGTTGCGATGGAATGTGCAAACCTGCTTATCTGTATTGCAACAAAAGGTACGACTGCTTCGATGAGACGGATGAACCCAAAAACTGCGACACTTCTAGAGTTTTTCAAGTAAGTTTTATACCCTTGACATATTGATACTTGCATAGTTGACATGAGAGCAGGGCAGTATAAGTACATGCCGTCGATTAAATTTTAAAAAGTGCAGCGTGTACTTACTTTTAGAAAGCCCCAAGTACACATAAAAACTAGTCTAAAGTGCAACCTAGCACTAAAATTGTCAACTAATTATGCAATAATGCTTTAATTAATAACATACATACGTATGAGGCTGAAAGATGAAATTCAATATTGTTCGTCTTAATCACAACGAGGAGTCACAACGAAATTCTGATTTTAACCCAAACGTTTTGTACGAGTCTCCAAAAAGTATTGGCAACATATGGCTGAAATCAGTGTGCGAAATTATTAATGTAATCTTCATGTACATTTCGTCATGGTAAGTTAATTAGATAACCAAATATGACGTTAGCTGCTTCAGAAGTCTAGATTGGTTTTGTTTTGGGCCAAAAGGTGACACTAAAACGGATATTTTTGGCAGAGAGAGAAATATTTAATCACGTCGCTTTTCAAAAATAAGCTTGGAGATGGAACACTTAAGCAGAAAACATGCTTCGGCATATTTACTAATCGAAACATATCAAATAAGTAAGAAATTAAACTTCTAGATGCTCGTTTTCAACGATTTGGCTGAAAAGGTCACCTGCGCCCATTATTGATAGAGTAATTAACAAAGAAGTTCGTCGACACAGTAGGATTTCAGCTCCAAAACTCAACTGGCTTTTGAGAACAAACTATGGAGTAAAGAAATAAAACAATACGGTGAACAGTCAAATTCATGCCATGGAGTTTAAAGGTCGAGTAGCCCAATGGACGTGTGGGCCTCCAAACGAAATTAACTAAGGCAATTGGAATTGGCTAAATACCGCTAACTGTAAGTTTTTTAATGGATGAAAAAGAGTCTGCTGGTCTCACAGAAGCCCTATTTGTTTATTCTGATCGCATTCGATGGTTCAAGTCTGACGGATGCATAGTTAGGATCAAAAAAACGAATGCTTGCATCCCACATTGAACCAGAGAGGCGGGTGGATTACGGTTTGGGGTTATATGTCCAGGTCGGCGTGTAAACTGGTTAGTAACGCCTAAATTATAACCAATCAAGTCCATTTAAGAATTCAAGTCTAAAAACTTGTTCAGTTCACTAAATAAATGCTGGAATTTATAGTTCCGACTTTTATGAAGAGTTTCAAAATTGCCCATTTTCGTCTATTTCCGACTTGGCGAGGTATAAAGTTCGCCTTTTGGTTGAACTTCTCTTCATACCTCACATCATTACGATATTTGCCGTAAGTTTCGGTGTTATTGGTGGCGGTGTGCGAGCTTAATTTTTTTCGGAGTTCTGTGGTTTTGTTTTTGTTTAACGTTTACATGATATGATAAACTGAGTCATTTTTGCAATATCTTCGTTTTTGAATTGGTGAAACGCCAATCTGGCGATCCATGGAAAAATGGAACGCCAAAAATTACATGGAAAAACATGGCCTTACGCCATGTTCTTATTAAAGTTGATAGTATTTTTGTAGCATTGCACAATTGTTTTTACGTATACCTGATTTAAATATCGTCTCATTTTGGCTACTGGCTACCTACAGGAGTAGTGTTTACATTTCTAAATTATACATATTAAACACATACCTATAAGCGTGGGTTCGATTTGTTGTGCAACCGTGGAACCGCTGGTTGCCGGGACAGCGGTAGGCAAAATCCGGGAACGCTGACCCAAAAAAAAAAAAAGGTCCTCCAAAAACTACGGGGACTGCTTCAGCTGCTTCAGTATATACTCTCGAATTTTTACATGTTCATCATTCCAGGAATCCCGTTTTTTATCAGGGAAATATATTTCCAGTTATTACAAATTTCTTGATATAAAGCAGATTTGGGCTTTCTTTAAATACAACGGAATAATTCCAGTCCTTACAAATAACTATGCATGGACTTCTCATTGTATAGGAGCCATACCTTGTCATTGTTAGGCCTGGTTGATCTGCGGTACCGGGCAGGGTATTCCCAGGGTTATGTTGGATTCGGTGTTTTGGGTTCTACGGGTTGTAAATGATTAAAACCGAAGGGTTTTATCATGCAATATGTAACCCTCATGCTATGCATTAACTGCAATATTTAAACTTGAAACCACCTCTCGTACATTGTATCATTAAAACCATGCAGCTTATTTCATAATTATTTATTTCGATCCCGTTTCCCGGAAAATCGGGATCCCGTTTCCCGGGAAATCGGGATCCAGCTTCCCGGGAAATCGGGATACCGTTTCCCGGGAAATCGGGATCCAGTTTCCAGGAATATCAGCATCCCGTTGCCCGGGATATGAGCATCCCGTTTCCCGGGAATTTCAGCGCAGAAAATTCGGGATTGCAACCCCTCAAACTTTTGTTTCGTTCTGAGTGTACTCAAAGGCAGATGCGGCGACGCTCGTAATGTTAAGCATGATTAAAATGAACGACAATTCGTTTAGGCCTCTGCGCGTGGAGCAAACCTGACAATTGATCTATTAAAGGTAGTGCGCTTAATAAAGCGCCAAGAGCTTAATAAAGTGCTGGAGCTTTATTAAGCGCCTTCGTGGAGCTTTATTACCTTACCCGGCGTATCATGAGAACTATTCAGCTATTGAATTAATCTTGTCCGTCTGTTAACGAGTTTTTTGCATCAATTGATGCTAATAGAAAAATCCCAGCTCCATTACATTGTGTATCATCAACTTAGGAGCACCATTGGTATTCCTTACAATCGGTAACAAAATGGTGCAATTGCGGGATGTGATACAAATCGGACAAATAGTGCAGAATAGCCTGGGAAAATGATTGTGCAATGTTGACAACTGTTTTTCAAAGTTAAATAGGACAACGAAACAGTACTATGGGTGCAACTTTCTATTACATTTAAGTAATAAAGTAACAAGCAATGAAGTAACAAGTAAATCGGTCTAAAAACTTATTCTGCACGTTGGTGAAAAGTTGTATGCAAATTATTGTTCCAGGGTGAACTACGTTAGATAAGTTTATGAAGCCCCTCCGTTAGGGGCCCCCCTTACACTTATGTAGCTCCGGAGAAGCTAAATTTTGTTGTGTGATTTTAAATGTTCTCCAGCACCAACGCAGTCACTAATGGGAATTTGTAGCTATAAAGCTGCTCTACCTATGTATCCCCAGGATAACAAATCACCGTCAATGTCAAATGAGGTGGGTCAAGACGTGTTTATAAACATGGAGGTTAATTTAGCTCCGCTGAATTAAATCAAGCTCTAGCCCGCTTAATAAATCTTCCAGACGATGTATTAATCCCCGAAGGTGCTAATTATTCTCCAGAGTCCGTTCTTCGGCGCCCCAGTTATTAAGCTCCTTGGGGCTTTATTAAGCGTATAGTTCTTCTAACTGCAGATGCAATTCCTACAATATCTTGGTACGAATTTTCGGGTACCCTTTCGTCCAGCGGCAGTGTAAACAAGCAGCTCATCAACGAAAGAATTAATTTGTTATTTCGCAATTTAACATTTGCCAGATTCACAAAGCGTTTAGGCGCTTAGGCGTTTAAACCGCGTCTTTTCGTAAACCGGGAAGGTCCACAATAGCCTTTAGACAGAGGAAAATACGGAGAAACTATTATTTTTCAACATTGATTTCCTGCTCTAAAATTTCATTACCAATGTATGTATATAATTCGTACCCACCTAGTAGGGCCTATTGTAATGACCAATACATAGACTAATGTAACCTTCCCAGTTCATAAAAATTTTGAAAAATTAACAATATCACGAGAAAGCCCATAGACTTCTAAAGAGACAAGTTTTCGAGTTTTTGAATTCGACCTAAAATTCGAAAATTTACAGAATTTTTAAAAACCCAGGTTTCGGCTGGACAACAGTTTGAACTTCATGTCACGCGCTCTAATTAGTGCATTAGGAAAAATTCAAAAATATATGTATGCTTATTTTTTGTGCTGAACAAAATAAAATTGGTCCCATTGCACACTGGTCCGGATTAGCTTATTGCTTGCCAAAACCTATAACTTTCGAACAAATTGATTTTTTCGAATTCTGTCTTCGGGAATCGAGATATGAAGTTCGAGGGGTATACGTCATAGAAGATTCATTGATAGCCACACCCCTTTGGGGGTGTGGTCAAAGCCAAGTAATTATTTTCTCGCGTTACCCCATCAAGTGGGGTATCATAAGAAAGGTCTCATCAAGCTCTATACAATTCAGCAATAACATTTGGACATCATCGGCACACCCACCGCCAGGGGGTGTGGTCAAAATGTAAATTTCAAAGTTTTGTTTCGCTGCATTTGACGATGTATTTCATCAAATGGCAATATTCTATAGTTTTATTAAGTATTTCTGCCCTCTGACCTCATTAACAAAGAAAGCAGGGCCAAAATGAAAAATTTCGGCTTGGCTGCTCAGGAGGCCCCCACGTCATAAAACTCTCCCCTTGGTAATAAATTTTTTAGAGGGATGTGTTTTACCATGTTCCCTTCCCCAAGGAGTGGGCAAAATATTTTGAGGCGATTGTGTTATTTGGAACGCTCAAAAATTTCATACCTCTCAATGATTGGAGCAGTCCAGATATTTTGATTTTGCAACTTGTCTTAGCATAAATTCAAATTTCTCTGTCAATTTGCAAAAGGGGCAAAAAGGGGCAGCAGTTTTTGTAGATGGGACATAAGGGTTTAATAACACATTAACGGTTTCTCGAAATACCACAGGACTAGACAGGATTTTCAACTTGAAGTTTTTCCTATTTAGCCCAATGTTATAGGGCAAGTTTAGGCATACGCCACGCCATAGCCATTTGAACAATACGAATGAAACTTTCCAAAATTGAACATCTATCTCAAAGGTACTGAAGAGGGTAGTTTGTTTTCGAATCCGTGAGAATAGGTTTTGGCCAACTAATTCAATATTCTGGACCTCAATGCATTGAGGTCTGAGTTTTACACGTAAAAGACTTGCATTGTCAGATCAGGACCTGAGCCCTCCTTGAATGTCTAGTGGCTATTTTTCAGTTGAGTGCGGTTCGGGAGTTTCACAGTCTGCTCGATAACTTCCAAAAATATTTTTTAACACGAAATTTCACCCCCCCAGGAAGAAAAATCGCGTTTTGGACCAAATCCAATTTACGCCCAATAAAAAAATCACAGAAGCACTATGATGGCTGCGGTTGACGTTTTTGAAATTTATATGGATAGTCTCGACTGATGAGGCGTGAATATGGTCTCTTACAGGTTTTTCTATTTTATTTAGCCTAGGCTAAACAAAATTGTACAATTGAAAAATTTTCCTGTCTTTTCAAAATATTTGCTTTTATTTTTCAAGAGCGTACCGGATGATCAGCGCCGGGCTTCTCAGGGGTCTATCTTTAGTTGGCGTGAATTTACCAAGTTCTTCTCTTTCAGGGGCGGGCAAGATACTTGGTCAAGATACAAGATAAAAGATACAAAATACAAGATAGTATCTTTATCTTGTATCTTCGTCGCCTGATCAGAGAAGTATCTTGTATCTTGTATCTTTTAGAAAGTCGAAAGTATTTATCTTGGGTATGTATCTTATCTAGATACGCCTGGCAGAAAAGTATCTTAAGAGAGTTGGCAAGATACAAGATACTTTTTCTCAAAATTCCGTCAACTTAATTAATTTTCTTACTGC